ATGTAATATATTATTATATATATAAAATGCAGAAAACATTTTATTTACTATTACTACGTATTAAAAACTGTAACATAACAAAAGTGATATTACATTTTTTAACACGTCCTGTAAAATTGGTTATAATGATATTTTGGAGGAGTGAATGTAAATAATTTCAAACTTCAGAGCTAATTTTCGAAACGTTTAGTAAAATTAAATTTCTGTAGCTTATTTAAAGGAGACTTCTACCAAATCAAATAAAACGAAACAAAAATACTCTGTTTAAACAGAGAAATATGAGTCAATGAACATTAAAAATTGCAAATAAAATGACTAATTTTAATTATCTCCCTATTATCAATTGTTAATTCGTGGTTAAATGGTCATCATTTGTTATTTGAGAAATCGGCCTTAAAAACCGTATGCTTACAAAGTGTAACAGTGCAAACTGTTTTAAGACATCGGAACCAATCGTAATGAAGACGCAACAGTGAACACAACGTCTTCATGACGTTGAAGCACAGAAGAATCTATACTGTTTGAAATACCTAAAAATTTATACTGTATAAATTCTAACAAGGACTAAAAAAATTCAAATAAAATATCTTGAACAGTAATTTGAAAAGCTCCTCTGTGATTTTTTTACATAGATTTTGAAATTTCAAGATAATTTTCATTTATTACAGAAAAAGCAAATAAAAATCAAAGGTTTAAAATCTCAAAATAAATTCTATTAAAACCGATAATAACCGAAACTTAATTAGAATTAAGTAAGATGACAAAATTAACATTTTAATCCGTTTATGATGAGACATTAAAAAAAAAAAGACGTAAACTGTCCAGATGTGCGAAGAAGTGGAAAAAGATCCCCTATTTATGCCATTACGCCTGCACATCTGTCCCTAACAGTCATAAAGTTTCTTACCAGAAATGGAACTAATGTCTTCCACATCTAGCCGATTCATCCGACGATACAACGTGCCAGTTTTACTTGTTTCTACTGATCAATAAACATTTGCAGGGTCATTTTCAATCATCGAGTGAAAAAAACAGCATCGCCGGAAACAGTAAAAGGTGGTTGCAAACAATTGCTTACATCAATGCTTCTAAAAGTCGTATCTGCGATGGGAAATCTGTACGTCGTATTACACGAACAATAGATTGATGCTGATTGTGAATTGGCGTTTTAAACTATTTAAAGTAAGAAAGTACACGTTCAGACTGCGAAAGTTTAGATCCTATCATGTCTATCAATGCACTAGTAAAAGTCGTGTTAATTAATTAAATTAGTTGAAACAGAAATAAAAGACAAATAAATTCCTGCGATAATATTTCAATAGTTAGTACATGGAATTTATTATTTTAGGAAATGCAGCAAAGTGTTGAATTTCACATAGAAAATTGCTTTAATATACCGTCGCACGCATCCTTGCCCCTTTTAATGCTTATTAAACTAGAAAAATAAGACTGCATCGATTGCATAATCTGAAAAAATAACCCAAAAGTCATCAATTTCATTTCATGAACAGATTTCAAATTAAACTTGTACAATATTTATATGATATACAAAAAAGAACTTTATTATATAAAAATGAGTACTGGACTTCTTACCTTGGGTATACTTTTACGAGTTATTGTAAATATTCCACCTACAGTGATACCCGGAGGACATTTTCCTAGTCTTTTTCTGTAGGAAATTATCTGTAATTGATATAAAAACACTCGTCTAGTTATTATATTATATTAAGTATAACCTATATGACAAAACGTGATGAAAAAAACGTTTTCATATTATTATAAAATAGAATAATTGATAATCACCATTAATTGATCATTGACATTTTTCTGACGAAAAAAAAGTAATTCAAGTTGTGAACGAAATCGATGCATCTAAGAATAAAAATAATTTTCTCTTTAATTCATAGATTCATGAAATAATTTTAAAAATTTCGTGAAATTTTAATAAATATAATATTTTTCCTGAATTGAGATAAATATTTTTATTAATCATCTTTTTAGGAATGAATCTTTATGTTGAATCAAGCTTTACAGGTATAACACGTAAATGATGTTCTGTAGTATTAAACCCTGTTTTTCGTGTTTAAAAATAAAGTTTTAGTTGTTTTAAATTTACTCGAAATGATTTAATACATCCAAACATTCATTATACAGCACAACATCTTTAGTTGTTATATTGACAATAACTCGAAATTAAATTATCTCAAACAATAATATTTTATAGGAGAGAGCCAAGCAAACCTGTAACACTGCAGAAGGCGCATCAGGAGTCAATTTTTACTGACGATATTGCATAAAATCCAGCTGAAAATATAATATTTGGAATGTTTTTTATATAGCTTACTTAAGCGGTAGACAATCTGATGTAGCGTTTGCTATATACAGTGCAGTATTACATTTATTTCAGGACGAAGTTACTTAATAAAATATTTCTGGAAACGTATCTTCGTCATAGACATAAGCATACCTGAAGTTCATTTTTATTACAGACAACACATTTTTATTTCAGCTAAAAAATAAACTGCATGAAGTTGAATTTCGAAATTAACATTAGGTAATAAAAGGAAATTTATACATAATATTAAGATATTATATTCAGATAAGTATACAGAGATAGAACCGACTGATCTGTTATACAAAAACAGAAACTATTATAATTTAACATTTTCCAGTATAATTTATATGAGGAAGAGGTGGCCAAAGTGATAGCCAACCGCTGTGGTTAACCCGAATGAAAAAACAACGTCAGAAAGTTTTGCAAATGTGGCCTAACCAGATATATTTAGAAGTTATAGCGCTGTATCAACATTCAATAAGTCCATTGTGTGTGTGACTTAACACTTAAAAACCTTGCTAAAAGGGCCCTGTTAGTATTACAGAACAAAAAAGTTTTAAAAATAGTGTAATTTATTTCAATGAAATATATCGTAGAAATACTTTAATAATAACAGAATTTAGATATTTTAACTCTTCATTGGTTAGACGATAAACACTGCGTGCTTGAAAGAATGTGGCAAAATTCTTTGCGAATAAATTCTCAATAACATAATTCATTAAGTTTAATTATTATGAAAAATACAAAAAAAGTTAAAAAACTAGAAAATCCATTTAAATATCTAAGGAAAATATTAATAATCATTAGAATTTCAGAAGTATGTCATAAAAAATAGAAACTTACGGTTTTTGGTATCTGTGTTGTCAAGAAAACCGAAAAAGAAAAAACAATGTTAGTAGCAATTCCAACATATATGAATCCATATTTCACGATCTTCAATCCTTCTCCGTATATGCCAATATAGAAGGACAGTGTTGTGATTGACAATTGAAATAGGTAGTAAACTGCCAACGTTGGGTTAATCATTTCATCTATGTTCAGAAGAATGTCACAATATTGGACATGTTTCTGAATTACAATGCGAAAATCTAATGGTTTGTCGTTCTCCATGGCATTTTCCAACTTTTCACACAAAGAGGACATGTTTCCATGTAGTGTGATGCCTATATCTAAGATAGACAAAAGTGATATAATTAAATATCCAAGTCCATAAATTATTTCCCACTGCGTTAAAGTTAAATGAAATACAAGTTTATACACATTCTCTTCATTTACAATAGATCCAAACATTATCGCGGTAACAGTAAATACAATGACGTAGGAGCATATAAGAATCAAAATGGCAAATTTTCTTAATTTGTAATGAATGAATGCGGAATTTTCTGTAAAATTATCCAAGTATATTTTGCACATCTCTACAATTAGACTAGAATAGATTCTGGCATTTTCATTCAGAATTATTTCAAATTCTAAATAAAAGAATAGAGTAAAAGATAAGATTAAAATACAATAAATAGTAAAATCGTCACCAAAAAGACGATCGATGCCCCCCGTAAACTGATGTATTTCTTCTCTTTGTAATAAGATAAACAAAAGAATATTGATATTACAATACACGAATAAAAATTTTATAAAACGCTGATATACCTTATACATGAAGTTAGTCTTTTCGTCGTTTAAAGGTAGAAACACTCCGAAAATGGTGAGAATATTTCTATTTTCTGTAATTCTACATAACAAACAGTAACAATCAAGAGAATGATTCACAGTGTTACGAATCATCGTTCGACGTTCTTTAATTTTAAAAATCAGTATTAAAATGTAAACTGTATGAAAAGAATTCAAGCAAAGAATTACAAGGACTGAAAATCAAGTATGAAATTCGATTAAACTGCATCGATTTTAATCGACGTCTAATTAAATAATTAAGGAAAGAATGTGCAGTGTTTGCTCAGGTAGTTTCTCATTAATCTGGAATTTAATACCAATTAAGTTTAATTTGACAGGAAAAAATCTGTGTGAAATTAATAGAGCTGTTTGGTGCAATGGGGTGTGTCTAAGTTCAATTTTTTAACTGTTTGATTTCATTTATTTTACCAATGCTATCTCTCTTTTCCAGATGAGAATACGCTCAAAATATAAAAGACAGACACTAAAATTTGTTTTTGCGCTAAACTTCTATAGGAAAATTTTAGAAAAAATTATAATTAATATAAGAAACTTCATTTGTTTCTACTTTCTTTATTATATATTACGGAATTACAATGGATTATTTGACAAAAGAAAGTTTTAATAAAACAGTGTTTTATTTTTAAAAATGTTTAAATACGCGTTTAAAAAATCTAACAAGGAGTAGTGTGACTTTCCCAGCTGTTATAAAATGTTTAGAGAAATGATTTATTTATTAATATAACTAGCTTATTGCACGCGGCTAGGACCGAATTTTAAAAATATTCTTCTTAGTAATTATTATATTAAATTTAAAAATTTTATGCGGTAAAACATTTTAAGAACATTATCAGAATGCCCATAAATTTGTCTACTGCAACTACTTTAAATATAAAAAAAATACTTATATATTTTATTTTTCTTCATAACAAACAGTAACAACTAAAAGAATAATTCACAGTGTTACGAATCATTTTGTGGTTTCTTTTAATTATACAAATCACTATGATTATGTAAATTGTATGACAAGAAAACAAAGAATAAAAATCAAGTATGAAATTCAATTAAGCTGCATCGCATTTTTATTTATGTGAAATTAACTAATTAATTAAGGAAAGAATGTGCAGTGTTTACTCGGGTAGTTTATGCAGATATCTTGTGACTCATTAATCCGGAATTTAATATTTATAAAGGAAAATCTGATAGAAGCAACTTCGGAAAATTTATATAATTTCTAAGATGGATCATTTAAAATATCACATATTTTATTTCTGTAATACAATGATTACCTGAATAATGGTAATAAGGCAAGAGATCAATACCAGAATGCAGTGATTTTTCTCCGCGATAGTAAAATACTACAGCCTATATCACACCCGAAAATTTAAAACAATACGTACTGTACAAGTCACAGGGAAAACTTGGAAATAAGTAAAAGTACAGGCATACCTCGACTTACGTCGTTTCGAGTTACGTCGTTCCCGATTATACGTCGCTTGTTAAAAAAGTATATGGAAAAATAAAAATCAAGTTTAAGTCATTTTATTCGACTTTACGTCTGTCCGCCACAAATATTGAAGTCGTAATATCACTAGATAAACGTTTAAAGCACATAAAATCATATTAAAATATATACAAGTATGTACTGTATTTACAGTACACGCATTCGTAAATTTAGATTACTTTTTTNTATTATATAAAAATGAGTACTGGACTTCTTACCTTGGGTATACTTTTACGAGTTATTGTAAATATTCCACCTACAGTGATACCCGGAGGACATTTTCCTAGTCTTTTTCTGTAGGAAATTATCTGTAATTGATATAAAAACACTCGTCTAGTTATTATATTATATTAAGTATAACCTATATGACAAAACGTGATGAAAAAAACGTTTTCATATTATTATAAAATAGAATAATTGATAATCACCATTAATTGATCATTGACATTTTTCTGACGAAAAAAAAGTAATTCAAGTTGTGAACGAAATCGATGCATCTAAGAATAAAAATAATTTTCTCTTTAATTCATAGATTCATGAAATAATTTTAAAAATTTCGTGAAATTTTAATAAATATAATATTTTTCCTGAATTGAGATAAATATTTTTATTAATCATCTTTTTAGGAATGAATCTTTATGTTGAATCAAGCTTTACAGGTATAACACGTAAATGATGTTCTGTAGTATTAAACCCTGTTTTTCGTGTTTAAAAATAAAGTTTTAGTTGTTTTAAATTTACTCGAAATGATTTAATACATCCAAACATTCATTATACAGCACAACATCTTTAGTTGTTATATTGACAATAACTCGAAATTAAATTATCTCAAACAATAATATTTTATAGGAGAGAGCCAAGCAAACCTGTAACACTGCAGAAGGCGCATCAGGAGTGTTTATACATTAAAAACAGAAAGACACTCGTCTAAGAAAACGAATGAAGATAGCAGCGGTAAGATCATTAGCCACAACAGTCTGCTGAAATAATGTGCACTGTTGGTCTTCTGCCAAAGTTGTGCTTAATATATAGTGAAAAGAAAAACCCTTTTTTTACACCTTAACGTTTATATATACTACACGTGTATATCTTATATGCAATGTGAAAAAGATATGAATCATATGAAACACATTGCATATTGATTCTACAGACGTAAACTTTATCTTAGATTAATTATTGTATTCCAGTCATTTGGGCTTAATAGAAGTGTCAGATTTCTGTTGCCAAGTCTACCAAAACTAGCTTAAGACTGAACAAACTCTGCAAACATATATGTTTTTGTAAGGACTATGTCAGTATATAAACAATATAACTTTAATTTTTAAGCGATGCGTGCATTTCTGTGACTTTTTGTATAAAAAGGCAGGTAACGAGCAGAAAAATTTGTACTTATTTTCTCTTATTGTAAAAGAGTTAAAACATATAATACATTATATACAGAAGAAATGAAAATCACCTCTTATTATGTTAGTATTACGTTTATTCAGTTTGAACAAAAATGCATTACAATTCATAACCGTGTTGTATTTTAAGTAAGTGAGAAAATGACAGAGATCATAAAAAGTATTCTAATATACAATAAATACAATTGAAATTATATAGAATTAGTGAAATTTAATGTACAGTAAAATCTGTCTATGGCGACCACCCACGGTTCCTTCAAAAAATGGTCTTTTAGAAAGGTAGTCGTCCAATACAGGTGCGTTAATGCGTTTATTGTTTTTTTTTTAATATTTTTTGCGCGAAAATTACTTGGATATTATTTTTCTAAAAATATCGTGGAAATAAGGTAGGTTGATACAGAAACTATTTATCGCACATGTACAGTACACAGTATATGAGCTTTAAAATAAATAGATAAATAAATAAATAAAAAATCTTATCAAACGATGAGATCAGCCGATTAATTGTATCCTGTACAATATTCTATACTTCCAAGGAAAATACTGTAGATCTACGGTAAAATAAATTTCGTTTTCCCACAGTTAAACTACACCGCTAATTGCTGTTGTGATAACTTTAAAACGATCTTCTAACGACAGTACTTTGCATTTTTTTCGTTTTTCGGACAATTTCGAACAAACTGAAATGAATTTCTGTGTGTAGCGTCCTTGTAATGCAAAAAATGATCCTTGATTCACGACCAAACAGCAATCGGTAAGGAAAACATTACGGTTTATTTAAAACAATTTGTTATTTAAAAGAAAAAATTGTTTTAAAAAAACTGTAATGTTTTTCTAACCGATTGCTGTTTGGTCGTCTAGCAAGGATCATTTTTTGGATTACAAGGACGCTACACACAGAATTTGAACATACAGCAACCATACCTTCTACATTATGAAATGAATTTCCTTTGTTGCTAGACTAATTTATTAACACCTGCACCTAATTTTAATTAGTCTAAACTCTCGTTCGAACCTGCCTCAGGCACTTCTCCAATCCTTAAAATTAGGATTGGAGAAGTGCCCGAGGCAGGTTCGAACGAGAGTTTAGACTAATACATTATATTAGGAGGGGGTAAAACGTTAGTGAACAATAGTTTAGACCAGATATATTCGAGGAAATGGTCGTTTATTACAGTTGTTGTATGTTGTTTCGGACCAAAAATCGATGTCCGCGGTCGCGTTACAAACGTGGTCGTTTAATACAGGTAACTTTAGGAAAATTCTATGGATAAACTATTCGGTGCCAAAAATTTTCGCCCGTTTCGACAGGTGCTCGTCGAATGCAGGTGGTTTCCTAAGCAGTTTTCACTATATTTCTTTTTTCAAAACGTTTTACTTCCTGTGAGAACTAAGAGGGACACACCTATTTACACCCCTCTTTTACACACCCATTGTGGATTCAGCCAGGTAGTGAGGGAAGGGCACGCCACAACCCGACTCTCACGATTACTTAGGTTTTTTGATTCGACTGTATTTTTTCCTGCAGGTTAAAAAGTTAAAATTTGAACTGATTAATTATAATAAATATCGCCAGCTTTGAGTTTAAATCTATTAATTATCGTCAATAATTAATAATTTTAAAAGAAATTGAATAATTCATATTCGATACTGAATAAGATAGAATTAAAACTACAATTTATGCACAGATTATATTTTAAACTAGCTGCAAGGACCCGCTTCGCTGGGTTTTTATTTGTGGGCAAAAAGTAACGATAGTGAAGATTAAGATAATTACATTATAGCCAATCTTACCCGTTTTTACAAAATTTAAGAATTAGATCTCCCGTTTCCAGACGTTTCCAGAGAATTTTTACATGAGCATAAAAATATGTTCGATTTCCCGCAAAAGCGCAAAAAACCGCCTGTAAATCTTGCATGCCGCTTTATATTAACACTTCCTGGTCCCGATTCTATTTCTGAACGTCGCCTGTTCACGTCCAGTCAAACGGACTATTTTCAACGTTTCTGGAACGTTTACGATCGTTCTATAATCGAACCAATATTCGAACAAATTCGAACAAAACATTCGAAATAGAAAGCCACTTTCAACCACTTTCAAGCCCATATCTCCCGCACCCGTATAGCTATCGAGACGCAACCCCCCCATAGTGCACGAATGGAGACTTGGGGCTACCACCACATACAAACAGCATTCATGTGCAATGTGTAGTTTTTGCGGAAAAGTGAAATATAGGGACACACACGTC